TTTTCAATAGATCGGAAACAATCGAGCCGCTTTTCCCCAAACGCGGAAGCTGAGGTGCAAAGAGTCCATTGACTTTGTAAACAGCAATATGAGGTGCATAAGACATACTACATGATTAACTGTAAATCTCCTTGAGCTCAGTTTGTTTTCTGAACTCACAGTGTTAGCTGTGAGTGTTCACAGCTAATCACTCATGAACAGAAAGGCAAGAGGAGATATTAAAGAGTTTTACAGACGCTTGGAGGATGTTATGATAACAAACTTTCAAAAAACTGCAAAACAGCTGAAACCCTGAGTTCCTTTAAATCAAGACTAAAACCCCACCTGTTTAGAATTGCTTTTGAACCATAATAAATGAAACATTGACCAACATTTTTGATGTGAATGATTTTGGTGATGCTACTCATCAAATTGTAATACATGTTCAGTTGTTGAATGTATGATGTTTTCTTTATAACTTTATAATTGTGTGTTCTTATTGTGTAAAGCACTTTGAACTCCCTTGCTGTTGAAATGTTCTATACAAATAAGCTTTATTGATTAATTGAGCATTTATTTTCACTTTTTGATCAATAAAGCACTTTTTTAAATTTAATTAATACATTAATAAGAGTATTTTCACAATGCTGGCCTTAAAACATCTTGTTTCTGCTTTCTGATTGCTCTAGATGCCATGTTTTATAACAGGCTTATTTATTAGCTCAGTGAATTTCTCCACTTCCTTATGGCTTTCCAGAGGGAGGAGGAGACAACAGCTTGGTAATGTTGACCCGACACGCCTGAGACAACTGTTCTTCATGTAGCTTCAACCCAACCGTCACTCTTTTCCTTCATAAAAGAAGACCAGGTGGTTATTTTCCTTTTTGGATTCCTGCTGTTGAACTGGATCTAAGTGGTGAGTCTCTGTGGATTAAGTAATTAAGAAATTAGTTTAGATTTACTTTTTAGCCAAACTATAAAGCAAATAAATCAAAGTATATCATAAGCATGTAGAAAGCAAAATGTGTGACTCTGTTTGACTAGTGTGAGGCCTGATTGACTAATACACAAATACAAGAAAAATAAGCAACAGTAGTAGCAACAGCCGGCAGTTATTTACAGACAAAAAGTGTTAGTTCCTTTCCGTCAAATAAAATATTATTTGCTCACCACTTGATACTTCAGACCTTTGATCCAAGGAGTGAAATTTGTACCTTTGAGCGATCTTTGTTGTGGAATAAAACTTTCTCTAGCAGTTATCTCAGCTAAAAGGGGTTTCAATTGGTTAATGCAAAAACATTCTGATTTTAGATTTGCTTAGCAAATAGTTGAGGTTTAATCTGTATTATCCCACCGTCCATCTGAGTGTGGATTTGCAGATATGGTGTGGACTAAATGGGAGTTCATTTCTATATCACTGTATTAAAAGAAAATCTGTTTAATCTGCATTTTTGCAACAATTCAGCAGTTCACAACAGGGTCCTGAAAGATCAAAGCAGGTAAACTGAAGCTTCAGCTGTTTGGACGCTAACCTTCCAGCTTCCTGCAGAAGATTTTTGAACTTTAAAGGGGCAGTATCATGTAAAATCGACTTTTTGTGCTTTACATCATGTTATAATGTTATTCCCTCATCAAACCTGCGCCTGGAGTATTGCCTTGATTCTTTCATGTATGTCGGAGAAATCCTTTGAACTCCATGGCAACCATTCAGCTGTGCTAAACGCCTGGGCAGACCTAGCCCCGCCTTCGAGGATGCAGCTCCTCCTCTGAGCTTCCCACCTCAGATTTTTATTTCATTTAACTTTTATTTAACCAGGTGAGTTATCAGGAACAAATTCTTACTTACAATAAAGAAAGCAAGTAAACAGCGAACATTTACAGTAAACAGCAAACATTATCAACAAAACTTTACAGAGACAAAGACATGAGATAAAATTAACATTTAATTTTAAACTGAAATACGTGCAGGTTTCAGACAGCATCTTCTTTAAAATACCTGTACTCCTTCAGACTAGTCAGCAGCAATTAGCAAACACCTGGTGGAACTCGTTATAGGAGCTGCTTCCAAGTGCAACGCTGTTAAAGGGTTAATAGAGGAGCCATGTTGTGATGACATCCTGAAGGAGGAGTTTCAGAAAGAGCAGGAGGTTTTAAAGAGACAGAGGCCCAATTTCAAGGAGTGAAATTACAAAGTCAAGTTTCTTTTTAGTCGTATTTTCATACATATAGCATTTTTATAACAAGTGAAGTTATTTAATTACTTGATTGTGCTATAAAATGTGCCTGGGAAATACATAACTCTGGCCCTTTGAATATGAACAGTTCTTAGAACCATTTCATTTTGTTTCTCAAATTATAGTTTGGAGGCATCATCACCAAACTCATCAGTCTCCTCTTTCTGTACTTCCGGTTTGCTTCTTCAGCCATCAGGGAAGATGTCGGTGGAAGATGTCAGACTAATCACTGTGTTTTCTATTTTTCATAAAGTGTTAAAGCAGAAGAGCAAAGTCACAGGTGTTTTTCTGACGTCACTGGTAAAGTCAACTCCTTTAACTTTATTGCTGATTTGACTGCATATCATAAAGCGGATGCAGAGAGTTTACAACAGGGTCTGATTCAGCGTTAGCTGTTAGAAACTGTTTGTGAGCAAAACTTTGTCAAATAATCTGCTAATGTCAAGAAAACAAATTGTGCAAATTCATATGTGAATAAGTTTTTTCATCCAATAAATTATTAAAAAGCATGCCACACCATGATCCTGTCTTCTTCCTCATGGTCTGCGCCAGTGGCAGGATTCGGATGTTGGTCACAGTTTTATGGTCAACTAGAAGTCACATGATCAACAACCGGATGTTTTCACTGGCGCAAACCACGAAGATGAAGACGATAGGAAGAGGTCAGAGGATGATGGCAAGACATGTTTTTTTAATGACTTAATATTTTTGAAATTTCAATTTGCGCACTGCTATGGTCAGTGGAAACGCTACTATTATTTATAAGGACTGCAACATTTGGAAAACATGCACTTGAGACACAGTTCTTGAATGTTATGATGCAGATATCAGCGTTACTGCCTTTGAAATTTAGGATTTGGTTCCTAAATTAAAGGTTTATCTAAAAAGGAGAATATTATGAAGCAAACTCATGGGAAGGTTTTCCATCCTACCAGTGGCGCAACTACACATTATTCAGGTGGATGCGAAAACATAAATCCCCCCCGGGAAAGAACGTCAGGGTGACGTTCTTTCCCGTTCTTTTCATTTTATGCAGTGTTCTAATTTCCTGAGACAAAAATGAATCAAGGTATTCCTCTTTGTTGATAAAACTGACCTTTATTGTTTTTGGTTCCTCCTTTTCGCAGTTCATCACCTTTGGAGTGATGTGTGTTTTATCTGAGAAGTTCCCAAGCCTGTGCCTGGTGAGTCGTTCAAACTTTATAAAACTGACAGCAAATATTCAGGAAGGTTACACCGAAAACTCAGAATAAACTTATTTCATCTGAAGAAGTTGTTATTGATAGCATAAAATCAGCATACATGATAAAAAGTGTTGCAAATATTGTAGTAACATTAATAATGTTCCTCTGCTTAGTTATCTTAATATTCAGACTATTTCATAGAGGTAACAAAATACAACTGAACCACAAAAAAGGGTCATAATAAGCAATGTTATTCAGGCAATGTGGGCCAAGATTCAAAAACGTTTTAGTTGTATCAGAGACGTGCACAGATGGACACTAGGTGGTGCTAGAGAACCTGCCTTTTGAAATATATATATTTTTTAAATTTGTGGGTCAAAATAAATGTTTTTCTAGAAATAAAACAGAAAAAAGTTTCTGTTTTATGATCCCATCATGGTGGCAGAGGTCAGTGAGCTTCCTGGCAGCAGAAGCTGGATTGGATTTTTGTTTTCATGACAAAATGGAGGAAAAATTTGAGAAAAACTGAAAAATAAAAAGGAGCAAAAATAATAATAAATTTTACACTGAGTTTTTTATTTCATTATTACAATTTAAAATGAATTTGATGACTTATTTCCTGAAAAGTGTGTGAAGGTTTCACACATAAACAAATTCCTGCAATAAAGTTTACTTTTAATCTACTTTTTAATCATACTTTTTATCTCCTCAGAGCTGTGATTTGTAAAATTATTGTTCTTCTTGTTTTGTTGTTATTTATAATCTGTTATTTTATTGTCATTTGTTTTATCTTTGGTGGACTTTTGTGTTGCCACTTGTTTTCATAATTAGTAAAATTAACTTTCCAAACTTGCAGATGCTCATGTAATGTTTATTATTTCAAAAGTCGGTGGAAAGAAAACAGTAGTTAGTTTTTTTTAAGAAGTCATAGCTGCTTTATATTGATATATTTTATTCGAATTAGTAAAACTTATAAATGTTTTAAATGAAAACTTGAGTTTTAGTTTTCTTGTGATGCAGGTCATCCTGAATGTGATCCTGAACCTGGCCGGAGTTGGTTTCGCCATAGCAGCCATCGTGCTCTACAGCATCTACGTATCACGACTTCGTTTACGAATAAGTTTGTTCACGCGAAACCAAGAACCTGGATGTTGGCGCTGTGTGACGCAAAAAAAAAAAGTTTCCAATTCGGTTTTGCAAAATAAATAAATTTCGATGAGGCTGAAAAAGCAATCCTCGCACAAAAAGGTTGTTACGTCACATGAGTCACATTATCAACAGCTGGATGTTACTACCAGAACCAACCAAAGATGACAACACGAAGTAGTTGGAAGACGATGGTGCGCATGTTTTTAATGATTTATCGTGTGAACTAATTTATTCACGTCATTTCAATTTTGTTTCTTATTTAATGGAAATACTGCAATTGCAAAATTGTGTTTGTTTTGACATTAGTGGAATATCGACATTTGTAATGGAAACTCAGCTGATGTCTTTCAGGCTGACCCTAACAGGCTGTCAGGATAACCTGTTGGTAACCAATTACTAAGACTACAGGACATATTTAGGTGATATTTGGAAACAAATATTCATAAAGCAGCAGTCCACTAAACAACACGAAGCCGTTGTGAGAATGTTTTGTGGTCCGATCAGGTGCTCCTGATAGGCATGAATGTTGTGCTGATCGTTCTGTCCATCATGGAGCTCTGCGCCGTCATCAGTGCCGTCGTCCTCGGCATCAAGACTCTGAGGAACTCTGCGCAGGAGGAAAACACCGTAAGTCCACACAAACTAAACCAGCTAGTGATTTTACAAGTAAAGAAGAAGAAAACAGACTGGTTTCGGCTGAAACCAGCAGCTACTTCTGTTTGAGATGTAAAAGATGAACTGGAGGAAAACTGAAGCGAATCGGATCAGGATTTTCTCATTGTGTCTTAGATTTCTTTATATTCTGACACTTTTTCTCTGCTGTTTTTTCTTCAGAATGTTGAAAACACCAAACCACTGCTGGAGGAGGTCACCTCTCATTCCACAGCCTAACGACCTCTGATCCTTTAAACAAAAAACTGAGAAAACTTTAAATGTTAAATGTAAAAGCTGATGTTTGTCTTTTCTTCATAACTTCACTGTTGCATTTGTTTAACATAAAGAACAGTTCCCCTAACACTATGGTACATTTTGGCCCTTCTTGTTGATAGAACCTCGTTATATTTCTTGATTTCTCTGCCTATTTGTTAAGTAACATTCCTCTTTAGAGCACACCGACCAGGAAGTGCAGATATCACGGGACTGATTAGCTGCCCTGCAGAGTTAATGATTAGCTGAAGTGAAATAAATCTGCTGGAATGGTGTTTTTGTAAAGATCATTCGGTCTATGCTATCCTATTTTTGAGTAAAACTGATTAAAAACACTGCATGT